TTTTTTTTTTTTTTTTTTTTTTTTTTTTTTTTTTTTTTTTTTTTCTTTAACTATTTCATATATTTTATTTTTTATAATCTTATTAATAAGATTTCATTAAAATTTTGACAATATAAATGTTCAATAATTAAGATTTTAATTATTATTTAACAATTATTTATTTTATATTCATTAATAATTTAGAAATTTTTTCTTTGTAAAGTAAAAAAAATTATTTATTTATTTCGAGTATTAATTAGTTAGTTATAGATGGAATTTAGGAATTTAGGAAATAGGATGAATTTATGATGGATTTTACGCATAAAAAAAGTATTTATTTTTCTAATTTTAAAAATTGATTATTAGTTTAAATAACTAAAGCTCTTTGAGATTGAAAAATTTATGTTAAAGATTTATTATATTTTCAATCGATTGTAAGAAACTGTCGATTTTTATGTTTGAATGTTATTGTAATTCATTGAAATGTTTTTCTAATAATGGTGTGGAGCATGCAGCGTACTTCCGGTTAAACCTCGAACTTCCTATTCATTGGCCGAATAAACGAGTTCATATACTGTCTATTGCAATCGAAGCTGAACGATGAAAGTTAATTCGAGTGAAAATTGATGTAGCATATAAACATTAAGAAGGAAGTAATTAAGCTTAAATTAATTCATAAATTTCTCCTTAAAATTTATAAATGTAATTAATTTTTTACGAGAAATGAAAAAAAAATAATAGATCTTGAATTTCGTTTTACTTTCTGTTTCATGTGAACGATTAGTTGAAAGTAAATAATGATTGAAAAAATATATGCATATTATAAATAAGTAATAATTAAATAAATAATATAATTCTTAATTTAATGATGAAAATATTTTTTTTTCATATGTATTTTATTTCTTCTCTTTTCTTTTTTCTCATCAACATCAATGTTATCAAAAGAAGAAGTAGTAGTAAGATGGATCCATAAATCATAATGTCACTGCCAGTTTGTCAGATAATCCGTCTGATATACGAAATAATTTAACGTCAGCAAGTTCACTTTTTAAACGTAAGATGTTTTTTAGTTGATATTTGGTATCAGTAATCGGAATTTAGATTATAGGTTACTATAATATATTTGAAAGGTTATTTGTAAAAATAACGATTACAGTGAAATATCAAAGATATTGAAAATTCTGGAAATATAGAATTTTGAAATATAGAATTGTTCAATTTTGATACAATTGAAAATGTTGATAGATATTGAAACATTAATAATGTTGAAAACTATAGAAAAATGACATTCATTGTTGAAAATATTGATAGTAGCAAATATTAAAAATGTTAATGAATATAGATAAATGTTGATAAATATTGAAAATGCTGATGAGCCAATTAAAAATATTTTTGAATTCTAAACTTCTCTGTCTATAGCAGATATTTATGAATGTCAACAAGTTTTCTAATATTAAAAATAAGAAAATGCACTAAATACATACATAATAAATATTAAATATAAATATTAAATATTCCACATGATTAAGAGAATCGAATACTTTTTTGCTTTAATATCTACATTTATATTTTTGTAATTATTTTCTGCCACATTGATGAACATGTTAATAATTCTATATGTTTGTGCAGTTATATCACAAGGTGACGACAAGTTAATACTATAAAAGTGTATTTACTTAATGTATTTTTATCTCATGACATCAGATGATTTCGTCATTTTAAATGATTCGTTTTTCTTTATAATATTGAATTTAAAACATAACAAATAAAAAATTATAAAAATTTTAAAATTTGTACCCTTAACAAGATGCAAACTACATTTATTCATTCATTAAAAGTTGTTCTAATTTCTTTATCATGATCCTACATCGATTAATTTATGCAAATTTTATTCTAATATGTATATTATACAGTCTGCATCTTTATAAAAATATTCCATGCGCAACTGCATAATTGTATTATAGTTTATATATAAATGATCATCTAATCAACTCGAAAACAATTCATATCTAAATTTCACGAATGTATCGTATATATTATATTATACGTATATCGTATGTATTATATATATATAATTACAATATTAGAAAAATATTATCAATATCAATTTATCATTATCATTATTATCAATTATTAGACGTATTAGAATTTTGAAAAGACATAAAAATTCACGATGTTAGCCAATAAATAAATTATCACTAAATTATTACTTATTATTTCATATTACACCAGACAAAACTGATTTATTTTTATTTAAGAGCATATTTTATATTTATTTTGATTAGAAAATTATATATAAAAGAATTTAATGACTTTATTTTTTCTAATTTATATATATATAAATTATTCAATATTATAAATATTTAATATTCAAAGATATAACTGTTACTATATATATATATATATATATATATATATATAATGTACATAATAAAAAAATAATACTGCATGTACATAATTAACTTGTATTAATTTAAACATTTTGATAAAGTTCATGTATTATGCTGTAAATTGATTAAAGTATCATGTGTATACAAAATGTATACGCTCATATTTCGTTTCTACTACATAAACGAATAGTGGACACAACATACTCGCAATATGCGATAAGAATCCTGACAGTCAGTAGTCTTGGGCTAACAGCTGAATCAGTTCAGTGTCGCCATTCGTAGACGTTTAAACGTTTTTGATTTCTCTCATACTTGTTATCATTATCATTAAAATCTTATTTTTTCGAACGAAAATATTTCAATAAAATCGTCATGTTAACACAGTGGATAGAGGGGATAGACGATTATTAAAATAAGAGCGCCATGTCACACAGTTATTATAATGGTATGTTAAATTAGAATAATAATTATTCAATTTGTAATTGAATTAATAAGTCATGGAGTTTAAATAAAATATGTTTGAATTTTTAATTAAATTCTTGATTAAAAATATTAGTTATAAATTAATTCAGATAAATATTTTAAAATTCTTTTATTGAAAAAAATATTACAAAGCATTCATGTGAGATAAGGCGATCTGAAAATAACTGTACCTGTATACGGGATTATCTGCGTAGATAGATTATCTATCGATGTTCTGTCATGCATTCCATGTAATTAGACCTCAAGGAGTGTCGTTTGTTGATTAGACGTTCGTCGACTTAGGTTATTCGTAGCTGGATTCTATCAAATGTTTTCGATGGAGTATCTTTTAATGTTTGAATAACTTTTAAGAATATTTTTAAATAGAAGTAGTAAAAGTTTGTTTAGTTTGATGAAATTTGACTAGATTTAATCAATTCGGTACTTGGTTATGTTCATCTTAAATCAGAATCGAATCAAAATATTTATATTAGAAAAGATCATGTTTTTAAAATTATTTAATTAAATATTTCTTTCAATATTCTTAAATTGTAATAATAAATGTTTCCTTTCATTTACATTCAATTTCTATTTCAAATAATTATTTTATAAAATTTCATTGATATGTCATTAGGTTTTCATTTAGATTGAAATTTTTTTTTTATAAATTTAAATTTTTTTTCAAAATAAACTTTGAAGAATTCCATTTTTTATTATATTATATAATTCTTTATAAAATATCTTAAAAATTATTTTTAATCTTAATAATCATGCAAGTTCCATTTCTTACCTAACCTATTTGTGTATATTTATATGTTAATTTAAAATTTAGTATATTTAATAAGAATTTAATATATGAATAACTTATTTATTTCTAAAAAATTACATTTTTTGCTTGATATTTTAAACTTTTGATCAGTTCAGAAACAAAATTTATTTAAAATCACAAACGACGCGTATATTTTGTTTGCAGACATTTTACTTGAAGAATCTGCAAGCGTATACACGGGCACGCGTTACAATCGCGTTACATGGTTTCTAGCGACTTAGAAACGCGACGAACAGCTTTTCACAGAGAAGGGTTTAAGCACTCTAATCAAATCTACGATGTTAGTTTCTTGTCATTGCCCTCTCGGTTTGCACGCAAAAGTCTATTGGCACGTTTTTCAACGCAAACATGAGCTAACTACTGAAGTTGCTGTTCCATTAGTGTAGCTACTTTACTTTCTACATTTGAAAACTTAAACATTTAAATTTTTCTTTTTTCTCTTGTTCTTCAATGTATAATGTTTATTCTATTAAATTCTTTGAAAAAAAAAAAAATATTTACGACAATCTTGATTGCATTTATCTTTATGAATATTTTAGGTTAGATTTCAATGACTAAGACTGGAAGTTCTAGGTTAAATTTCGTTTATATGTCAGATATTATATGCTTTTGCGTTTCTTTCTTGTCTTTTAAAATAATAAATAACAATATTTTTGCTAAGTTTTTTAAAAAAAAATTTTTTATATATTTTATTATCAATTTTAAAAATTACTTTAACATTGTAGAAAAGATAATAATGATCAACATTATTATTTTATTTTTCAATGTCATTTTATTTATCTTTAAAAAAATAATATAAATTATTCAGAAAAATTTTTTCAATAAAATAGACAATATGAATTATTGATATATATCACTACGATAAGATATATTGTAACTTGAACGTGTCCAACTTTGATAGCTATGTTCTTAAAAGACTCAATTAAATCGTTTTTATCTTCATAATAATCTAAAATAATCTTTTGTCTAATCATCCTATATTTAATCTAAAAGATTATATTGTTATATCAAGTTTTATATACTGAAAAATTTATAAGATTAGGTTTATGATTCTATTGAAGAAAAAATTAAAAATACATTTTATTGATATATTATTTATTTGTGGTCGATAAGTTATTATCAGTTGATTTTGAGATTTTTATGATATTATTTATTAGATAGTAGATTTAATAGATAATAATAAAATTAATAAAAAATATTAAAAAGTTCTAAAATTTTGAATATTCCTTACGATTTCAATTTCATATAAATCAACAATCAAAACAAAATTTCAAATTTTAATCAATAACCACAAAAAATTATTAAAAAATATATAAATAAAATTGTAATTTCTTAGTAACATAAATTTTAATATTAACATATATTTGTGATTTAGGAATGAACTATTTGTTTTACATAACCTAACCTAAAATACTATTGAAGAATTAATCTAAAATTAAAATTATTAAAAATTTATTAAAATTACTAAATAAAATGATTAAATTTATAATCGACTTTTTATTTAAAATCATTTTATTTTAAAAAAAATCTTGTTTTATAATTTATGAATTAAATCGCCAATTAAATTAATAATACGCGTTGTCCATGTACAATGGTGGACATGGTTACTAGGGAAAAAAGAGGGCGGTATTGTAGTAAAACGCGTGCAAAGTAAATAAAGAACAAGCGCGAATAACGTTTACCTGGTAAAACCATTTTGTTTTTTACTAGCGTTCGTGACTCGACAAGATTATTGTCCCTGCTTTATCGTTGCTATCGTCAGCGAACAAGCATGTATCATAAATTTTTCTTCGTCTTATAAGGAATGAACAACAGCCGAATGAACATGTATGCGAATGTGAATTGCTTGTTTAATGTATACATATGTGGAAAAACTAGGATCTTAATAGAACTGCTTTTCTATTGTAGAATGAGGTAAAGTGATAAAATTGTTTTCCTTGATTTTTAGTCTTAAAGTTAAGATTAAATGAAATATTTTGTTTTTTATAATATATATTTGATATAAAGGAATCTCTTATTTTTAAGATAGCAATAATATAAATGACTAACATATTAATATAATACTTTGTAATATTAGAGATTTATTTAATTCCTAGTATCAATATCAATATATCAAAAATATTTATGATTGATATTTATATTTATGTTGTGTTAAAATTAATTTTGAGTAGAAATAGATAAAGAAAGAAAAGCTAGAAAAAACTAATATTGAAAAAAAGGATTAATATTAGAATATAAGTGATATAAGAAAGTCTTAAAATATATCTAAAATTGAAAAATTTAAAAATTTCCTTAGTTTTTCTATGGATGTAATATTCTGTTTCTATGAATATCTCTTTGAAATGGAAATAGAAATTTCCATTTTCGCTGCACGTGTTTCTTAAATCCTCAAACAGGATGCTATATTCAAAATCTAATTTTGGTAAAATGTTTAATTTCAGGGGCGCAGTATGTGCCCGGCGTTGGGCTTGGCGCTGCACCCCAAAACAGGAGCTTCAATTTCGATTATATACCGAGCTATCCACCGACCAAAATCGACAAATACAGGGGTGGTTCTGGTATACAAAAAAGAATGACTCAAAGGGAAGATACGTTGAGGTTCGAGCAGGGCCGTATTAAGGCCTTGCAGGAAGAACGTTTGCATATACAGAAGAAAACATTTACTAAATGGATTAATTCATTTCTATTGAAGGTATTATAATTTTTTAAAATATTTTAATTAATAATATTAACTAGTTAAAAAAATTATATTTGTTATTTTATGAATATATTATATTTTTAATTATGAATAATTTTTCATGTTCTGGAAATTAGTGAAAAAAATTTTAAAAATAATATTTAGATAATATTGAAGATATTTATAAAAATGACTCACGTTATTTCATGTTGTCGCTAGAATATCTGCGCAGAAAAGAATCCGGCGACTCGTTGAATCGATTACTTTCACTTTGCAGGCACGTATGGAAGTAGATGATTTATTCACGGATCTAGCGGACGGCAAGAAGTTACTGAAATTGTTGGAGATCATCTCTGGTGAACGATTGGCTAAACCTAACAATGGTCGTATGCGAGTACACAAAATCGAGAACGTGAACAAATCTCTAGCATTTCTTCATACAAAGGTAGGATTAATTAATTGCTTTCTCACATATTATTTAAATTAGCATTAATTTTTCCGCATTGCAAACGTGTATTCAAGACATTATATCAATATGCGTTTCGTTCCCATTATATGATTATTAAATTAATTAATAATCATACGTAAATCTTAAAAATATTTTTAAATAAATAATATCAAATTTTATATTTTTTCGAAAAATATAAATTTAGGATTTAGATCTTTTAAACTTTTTAAAAGATTTAAAATTTTATATAATCATTCTAAGATTTCTTAGATTTAGATAATATACAAACTAATACATTACGTTTATAATTTCTTGAATAATTGTAAAATTAGGGAAATTTAGAAAATACAACTTTCTAAAGTTAAGAAAAAAAATAATGTCTAAGAAAATTTAAAATATTGAATTTCACATTTCTTGAAAGAACAGAAAATTATACTTTATAATCGATTTCGGAGAACTGAGAGTTTTCTCTCTGCTCTTTACTTATTCTCAGTCTTAATAAATGCTATTAATATCTCTATGAATTTTTTTCAATACTCTTCCAATATTTGCAATTCATTTTATAAATAAGATTTATTATTCTCGGTATGATTAAACAAAAATCATTTGTTAATCAATTTCTTTGAAGTTTCTTTTTTCTATTTTAATTCCAACATATTCTTTAAATATAAATGATTTGTCATATTCTTTTTAATGAAAACTAAAAAATTTCTTTTGGAGATATAGTCTTCGGCATTTTTATTCATTACATTGATGAATCCAATTATTCATTAAGAAATAATTCTCACGGTTTCACAATTGTCTCTTATTTCACATTAGCATTATAATCAATTGTAAAGTTATATAAGGGATGCTGTTGCGCAAGCAAAATTTTCTTCAATAAAGTTTTTCTTCGTTAAACATTAATAAATAACTATATCCAATCTCTGATTTGCATTTATTTGATCATTTCGTTATATTCAAGCTATTAGCCGTTTTAATAATTGAGGTAATAATTATTATTACATGTAATTATAACTACATAATAATTAATAATTGTAGATAAAAAATTGATTAAAATTATAAATAATTAAGTATTAAATTTTAAACTTATTATAAAATTGAAAGAAACATATATCAAAATTTTGAAAAATATTTATATTATGATGTTGATGGTACTTATTTTTAATAACAAGAAAATTTATTCGTAATTATCTATTATCAATAAATCTATCATCATAAATCTAAAACGTTTAATATCCCAAGAAAAAATGTAGACTTCTTTTTATAAATATAGCGCTTTAAAATTTTCTTGAAAAAATGTAAAATCTAAAGAAATGCAATATTATAATTTATAATGCAATTCAGGTTTTTAAAAGAGAAACATAAAACTAACAAAAATATATAACGAATATTTTATATTTCTTGGAGCGTAAAGTTCTTTCCAACAAAATGTCTTCCGATTTTCCATGTCATTGCATAAGAATAAATTACAAAAGTCACAATACTTGGAAGTAATGTCTTTCAAACACGTCTTGCGCCTACGATCCCGTAAGTGCATTATGTCGCACCATATGCAGCACACATAAAACTATTATGTCATAAGCTACGAAGCGTAGAGGCCATTCACGAGGACTTTGCACTTGTAAGGATTCGCCACGAGTTCCGCGTACACGTAGGACGTCTTTTCTAACCTTTATGGTTATATTATATACCTATCGATTATAAAAAGTGCATATAAATAATATATATATATATATATATAAATTTCATTAAATAATAATCAATATAATAAAATTTCATTTCATAATTTAGAAATAATTGAGAAGAAAATTTTGTTAATTTATAAAAACTAAAACTTATTGTTTTTTTTGATTATATAAAAATTTCGTAGAAAATAATAGTATTATTTTTTTTAAAATTATATTTTATTTTATTTTCTATAAACCGATATTTAACAATATTATTTATTATATTTTCAGAAATAAATATAACTTATCTCATCATTGCTCTACTTATTTGACCCGGATTGATGCGAAATTCAATTAGTTGAATTCAAACGAAAGGAGAGAACTCGAAGAAATGAAAATACCGTGTCTTGCGAAATGTCAGGTCAACTTTCGTCAAATACTTTCGCGATTTGAAATTCGTCGCGCTTGCCGTGCCGATTTTCCCTAACTTTCTAAGCTGGATGAAAAATCGTTGAAACATTTGTGAAATATATTTACATTAGCCAAGTATCATCTTTGAAAAATAATCCATATTCTATCCAGCAATCTAGCTAGAAAACATTGATCATTATTCTGACATGACATATCACGTGATAAAATATATCGTGATTGATTTGCGCGCCGAATTCGATTAAGCCTGGTTGTTCATGAATTTGGACGTTAAATATTATTACGCTACTTCAAATAATCATTGATGATTTATTACTTGAATTTATCATGATCTTATCGAATATTACAATTTAAGACGTTTGATTAATAACTTTATATGATAATAGTTATATAACAATATTAAAAAATTATTTGATATTAAGAAAAAAAATTTTTATAAATATTAAGAATTTTATAAATATATTTTATAATTTTATAAATTTTTATAAATATTAAAGAATTGAATTATTGAGATAAGATAAAATAATAGGATAGCAATTTTTTTATTATTATTTAAGGAATAATTCTTAAAAAAAAGTTGTAAGTTTAATCCATAAATATAAGTAATTTTTTTTAACTTATTTCTTTATCGAAAAATTGATCGAGTGAATAATTTGCAAATAAAAAGTTATTCATGGAAAAGATATGTTTTACGCGTACTTATTACGGCTCCTTC